AACTATTGTTCCTTGTAGTTACAGCACAAAACCCATAACCTTTCTCTTCTGTATTAAAAAATCCTATATTTGGGCTGGGGCTATAGCTTAGTGGCAAAGCACTTGCCTAGCATGCATGAAGCACTGGGTTCAATCCTCAGTACTACATAAAAATAAATAAAATAAAGGAATTCTGTCTATCTACAACTACAATTTTTTTTTTAAATCCTGTATTTGATCTCTTTGTCATTAGGTGAATAATACAGCTATTGTGCCTTCAAAGAACCAAGTATTGACTTAGAATGAAGCAATCTACTTAGGAGCAGGATTATATTTTTTCCGTGATTGGATTTTAAACTTTGATACTATTGCCACTAGTTCCTAAACAAACAGAATAGTTGAATATAAAGCCAGCTTTTGATGGTGATAATGAATATGTAGCTTTGTTTAATTAAAGTATTTTAATTTGAGAGGGGGGAAAAGCCAATTAGGAAAGAACTGCATGCTTTACTGTAAAATCATATAAATAGTTCTGAATCCAAGTATTAATGATGGCAAATCTTCAAAGATAAGAGCTTTTCTGTTGTTTTGTTACATGCTGTTATTCATGAGAAAAATATCAAAGTAATGTTTGCTTTTTCTGATAAAATAATATTTGTTATTAGATCAAAGAATAATTCACACACACAATAACCATTAGCACCACAATAATCTAGCGCCATAATATAACATACAATGCGTTACTCCATATTATACACAGAATTTGATAGCTTTAGAATCATAAAATAAAAGCCTTTAAAAAAGTCATCTGCTGTGTCCTTTTCTCCAGTTTGTTTTTTTTTTTAAAATGAAAAATCAAGAATAAGTGAATTTTTCAAAGATAATGTTAACTGGAGTTGAAGGTTCAAATCTTGGGGAATCTCTACATGGTACATTTTTCTTTGTTACAGGCACAAGCTAGGAGATGGTGGAATACATAAGAGATCAATTGGGCAAAAACCTTTTGAGAGAAAATAGAGGAGACCAGATGCTCCATCAGACCTCAATGAAGGTTCACCCCCTATGAAATAAAGAATCATGGGGGGAATGACTCAGAAAAGCGTTAAACTACAATCCTGCTCTAAAATAGTTCTGTCAGATCCAATGTGTCCAGGAGCCAAAGCTGCCAATCAGAAGAGCCCCATATCTTCTACAAAGGAGTCTGCCTTAGAATCTCTGCCAGCTTCAGTCTATGGTTTGGAGAAACCTAAGGGAAACACCACCTCTCTATGCAAAATCTGCAATGCATCTCATAATGTGGCAGCTGAGACTTTTAGTCAAGTAGGTTTCCTGCAGTTAGAGATTTGAGAGGAGCACTTTTATTGCTGCCACAATTTCTTAACTTATGAAACACTTGTCTCATTTATCTCCAGATTTCCCTCCAATATATTCCACTTGTAATAGCAGTTTTTTCCTATAATGAGATTATCAAAAATAAAGAGAGCTTATCTCTTTATATAAAGATTATCTAAAGAGAGGGCCATGTCATTAGGAGACCTTAGAATGATGCAGAGAAAAGAGAGACAGCTTTAAGTGATGGAGGTGATAATAATAACAAGAATCGTGATCACTCGTAAGTTCCTGTGTTCACTAGTCACTCTGAGTTACCTCTAGTGTTCACAGTGGATAATAATAACTCTACAAAGAGTTAATTTTCCTCCACCTTAAGAGAATAAAGACCTAGCTCTGTGCAAGGGCACTGACTCATGTAGAATCAGGTCACTTAAATTCTCTATAAACTTAATTTCCTAATCTGCAAAGCAAGATAGTTACAACTACTCTTAGAAAGGTGTCATGAGGGCTCAATGGTACAATGACTTGAACTGAACACTCAGCATATCTTTCAGTGATTTCTTGCAAACCTAGAAATTCCCATTTTCTGTAAGAGTACTGAGGCATAGTCCCTTCTCTTCACTTGGCACTTTCTCAATACAAACCCTTGGAAAGTCCTGGAAGAGTCTCAGCTATTTGAATGTTAGCTTATCATTAACTAGAGAGCAATACCATAACACAGTAGTAAAGGGAATAAATTCCACAGAATCCAAAGGTAAGTTCCAATCCAATTTTTTTTTCTTTTTGATCTCCCTCTCATTGATATAACCTACCTATGAAAATGTTTAATTTTTAACTTTTCTAAGTTTCAATTCCTTTCTTTCACCTAGTAAGGACCAGGAATGTGTATATAGACAGGTTCTTAAATTAAGTAAATATATGTGAAACACATGCATAGAAGGAAAACAGGAGCTATTATTATTATTATTATTATTATTATTATTAATACATATCATTTTAAAAACAAATTACAAAGAGATAATACTTCAGCTCATGGTCTAAAAGCAAACTTCATGTTCTAGCCTTTTCCTGGTTTCTCTCTCTGGTGATGGTCGAGTGAATGTGTTACTCAGGCAGGTCACTAGACAGAGAGGGGTTACTCAAAGGGTAATTCACCCAAACAACCAGAAATTATCAAAACTGTTTCACTCATTACAAAAATAATATAAAGTCTTTTAACTTTGAAAGATAAAAGTAGAATAATCCCTGGAAAGAAATTTGAATATAACATCTTAGGAAATACTTAGAAAAATGAAAAAGTTAAAAAGAAAAATTAAAACACCAAAGATTCATACATGGAATGAAGTATGGTTGAAAGTCAATGATAATAGAGAGATTTGGAGATTTTTGTACTTTTCTATGAAAAAACAAATATACTTGCATTTAAAAGATGATCAAGAACCCGATTCTATTCATAGACATCAACTTTTGAGTAAATAAATAGCAATATAACAGAACCAAGGCCCCAACAGAAAATGCACAGGCATGAACTCAATTGCTTTCTTTCCAACTTTAACACCAGAAAATGAGAATAAGTATTGAAATGATGTTTGATGTCCCAAATTCCAGTAGCTTTGGGGATAGTCTTCTAATTTTTTCAATTACTACATTTTATGGTTTAACGAATTAAGTCATCTAACAAAAAAAAAAAAAAAAACACTCACATCCCACATCCTTACATTTTTTTTTTAATCCCTTCCTCTCAAAACTGGATAGTTGGTTTTTTGATTTTGTTTTGTTTTTTGTTTTTGTTTTTTAGCACTAAACATAGACTTACTACTTATTTTATTTTAAATTTATTTTTTTACTAAAATCTGAGTTCCAGGATATATGTTTCCTTAGGTATAAAATGTTAAGTAGAGTCTTTAGTTGAAAAGAACTAAATGAAAGATGTGGGAAGCAAAGAAATGGGCAAAGGAAAAGGAAAGAATGAAGGCAGTGAAGAGAAATGCCTGGAGCCCTGTCCCATGTGCAAGGAGACTTGCAATTTCCTTGTGGGGCCCCACTATCACCTGCTTTATCATTTCTTAGCAATCCCACCTCTCCTTTGTCCTCCTGCCATTCTATCTCAACTGCTTGTCAAGTACACTGTAGAAATCATTCTCTTCTCAAAGAGCTATTAATTCCAGGCTATTGTTGTAGCAGAATTTACTACAGGTTTCTCTAGCAGATTGGAATTCTTTTGGGGGAAGAAAATCCTCATATTGAATATAAGATTTCACTGTTCCTACAAATCAATGGATATTTCCTACACAGAGAATTTATCCATGGTAACTGTAATTTTTTTTCTCTTTCCCATCTCCCTATACAAATTTCTTCTTCTTATTCCCAGCAAATGCTACCTCATCCCCCAAACTAGTTTGTCATGCAGAATAATTTAGATCTCCTTCCCCCCAGTCTGTTTTATATTTGTTTTTCTTCCTGTTGCAAAAGAATCACTTATCATTTATTTATACCTTGCTTGATTCCACAAAGAATCCATTGTATTACAGGATCACATGTAATAAAAGTAAAAAAAAGAAAAACTAAGTACAATAGGAACATAGGTTATGATTAATCCAGTTCTGTTCAGATGGAGTCAAAAATGAGAGGAGAGAAAGTGAGTTCAAATATCAGGGCCAGGAAAGGCATAGATGTTCAAATGTGAGCTTTAGACCTACACTGAGATATAAATGAAACACTAAAAAATGTACCTAGAGTCACACGTCTTTAGACTCCTGATTAACCTGAACAGTTAGCTCAGAGTTTCCAGGTAGCCAAAATCAAAAGGGAAACATGACTAGTTTTATCATTTTTATATCTACAGGCAATAAACATGCCAATTTCCTGAGGATTAATGCAGTTTTGCTTGGTGTTTGCAGCATTTCGTAGACACAGATATTGAGAAATAAGACACTGAGGGCAGGAAAATTAGTTCAGAGGCAAGATTCAAGATAGGAACCAAAAGACTCATGAATAAGGGTGGCTGGAGAACTGTTGGAAAGAACAGAAGGCTGGTTGGAATGAAGATAGGAGACTGGTAACAGTGGCCCAATTTAGGTTGTGAATATGGCCCTCGGTGCTCTGCCATTCAACTTATTTTTTAATTAATTTTTTTAATTTATATATGACAGTGGAATGCATTATAATTCTTATTACACATATAGAGCACAATTTTTCATATCTCTGGTTGTATACAAAGAATATTCACACCAATTCATGTCTTCCTACATGTACTTTGGATGATAATGATCATCACATTTCCCCATCATTTCTAACCCCATGCCCCCTCCCTTCCCCTCCCACCCCTCTGCCCTATCTAGACTTTTGTCTATTCCTCCCGTGCTCCCTCTCCCTATCCCACTATGAAATGGCCTCCTTATATCAAAGAAAACATTTGGCATTTGGGTTTTGGGGATTGGCTAACTTCACTTAGCATTATCTTCTCTAACTCCATCCATCTACCTGCAAATGAAGAGCTAGAAGAAAAGTAGGCCCTAATCTCCATCATGTGGGATTAGGCCCCAACTTCCTTAATAAGACTCCTTTGGCCCAAGAATTAAAATCAAGAATCAATAAATGGGATGGACTCAAACTAAAAAGATTCTTCTCAGCAAAAGAAACAATCTCAGGCTCTTTCTCTGATCGTCACAGTGAGAGGAGCCTTCTTCATGTCGCTGTACCTGCCGTGGATGGTCCTGTGGAACTGCTCCAGTTTCCTGATCAAGAGAGATAAGCAGACCTACAGCACTGAGCCCAATAACCTGAAGGCCCGCAACTCCTTCCACTACAACTGGTTGATTCACCTCAAGACTCTGGGCATGGAGCCCGTGGCCGATGCCAAAGGCTTAGTGGTGATTATGAAACACAGATCCAGCCAGCAAAAGCCAGCTACCTCTTATGTGCGGACCACCATCAGTAAGAACGCAGGGGCCACACTCAGCAGCATCAGGCACAGGACTCGCAGAGCCAGTGCCATCCTGCGCAGCCAGAAGCCTGTGATGGTGAAGAAGAACCAGACACACCCCACTAAGTGCTCCTGAGCCCCATACCTTCTAAAGCAATAAAGAGTTAGCTGACTTTCAAAAAAAGAAAGAAAGAAAAGACACAATCTCTGAGGTGAATAGAGAGCCTACATCTTGGGAGCAAATCTTTACCCCTCACACATCAGATAGAACACTAATCTCAATTTATTTTTAAAAGGAGATTTCTTTTTCTTCCTCTCTCTCTCCTCCTCCTCCCTAATCTCTTCCTCCCCCAATCTTAGGGAAAATAGGTTACATTTCTTCCCTATCCTAGGCAGAGTTATCTGTGAGCACACACCCACCCAGAGTTATCTGTGAGCACACACCCACCCTGGGAACCAAATAATTCAGATGTGGGGGATGGCACCAGAAAATCTCAAAAATGACTATCTTCCAAACTAACAACTGAACCACACAACACTTGGAATGTAGCCTTTGAATCTCCTCTTAAGGAGGAAAAAAATAAAAAGCTTGTTCTCCCCGATAGACAGAATCACAGCCCTTTTTTCTCAATACCATGTCCTTGTTATTGCACCCCCTATCTTTCATACCAGACTTAGCAGGAAATGGGATATTCCAACGTAGCTGCAAAAGAGTCAGGGACTTCCTTCAGACTGTTTGGATCCCTCCAAGAACCCCTTGTTTCTCACCCTGCAGCTTTATGACTAGGTACCCTTGTGCTGACAATCGTGGAGAGAGTGTGACTGTTTCCTAGTCCCTCAGCCCCACTCACACACATTGGACCCAGAGGCAGGCAGAGCTCTGGGCTAGAACTTTAATATGCCACTCACTTAAATGCTATTTCCCTTAATGGTGTCTATCCAAAGAATAGCCCAGTGAAGGTGACATTGACGATTAACCTATTCGGAGTGTGGGAGGCCCACAAAAATGATGCCTGAATTGTTCCTCAAGAACAATTTGAGTGTGAATAGAAACTGCAAAATAGGCTCTGTCACCCACGAATAAAAGAACCTTATCATACATGCAGAAGTTATTCTTCAAGATTCTCTAGTTAAGGAAGCAGCCTTATACCATGGGTAGATACATATGAGCATGATTTTTCAAACCAATAAAACAAAAGTAACAGCTTTACCCCTGATTGTGTTTATTAAATTGCTCAGCATGACATTGTTAATAGTCTCAAGAAAACAATTTGGGTGTGCAAAGTGACCCAGAATAGAACCTATTATGATGCCTAAATTGTTCTAAATATCCACTGAGTGGTTTTTTGTTCTGTTTTGTTTTGTTTTTCATGAGTTGCCCTTCAACAAAGGAGATTTTAAAGGCATAGGAAGTAGCTTTGCTCCTGCCTTCATTGTAGGGTAATATCAAGTGCACCTTCAAGCAATGCTTGAGTTTTCCAGTGAATATAAGTCATAAAAACACATCTCAGACATGTCTTAGGTATATATCCCTGAGATAAAAAAATATATAAGTGTATGAGTTTGTGTATGTGTGTGCATATGTACCACACACATAAACATGAATGGTTTATGTGTGTGGTACGTATGGATATATGTGTATAATGGTATACAGATATGGTTGTATGCACATATTTCTGTACATATATATATACATATATATATATACATATATATATATATATGTATTCTTTATACCAAAACAACCATCAACTGATTCTGCAGTTTTTATTTACTCTGCAAATGTATGAAAATGATGGCAGTATTTGGAAAATCTTTTTATTAGAGAAAATTTCTAATGAATCCAACTTCACTCACTGAGGTAAACACTAGAGATAGGAATTAATATCCCCAGGTTCAACAGCAACATGTGAAAAATGTCCAAAATTCATAGCAAGGGGAATTAGGAGACTATGGAAGAAAGATGACAATGTATACAGAACAGGAAGGAAATCCCAGAGGATAGGCTGTTTGGAAGTCCAATGTCTTGTGTGAATTCCTGTTAAAACAAAACAGCTTTCCTATAAGGACACTTGAGCACACTGACCAGCAGCAGTAAAAATGGACCAGATTTTAGGAGGGGAGAGGAACAAAGGTCAAGAAGGGATGAGCATTTAATATACACCCAAGATAAAGTCAGGTGTTTGCCAAGCATTTAAAATATGCTACCTACCATAAAACATATATAAGAAATTTCCAACCTGAAATAAAAGTGTCTTAATAATGCACTTTAACAACTTGTTAATGCAAAATCTGACCTGACCTAAACTCATTTTATGGCAGAACCTGACATGAAAAGGTGTGAGTCAATTGTAGTATTATTTTTTTTAAATCTGTCTTAATATTTTTTTAAAAAATATTGAATAATTAATATGTTGGTACTAAATGATATCAATCTATGCTCAGTATTTTCTTTCTAAACCTGGATACACTTCTGGATTCTGAAATATTTGACCCCAAGAGTTTTAAACTAGGGTTATGGTCTTTTATTAGTAATGATAAGATCTCAATAGGTAATATCAATTTTTATGTGCCTACTAGGGTGCTATTTTGAGCATTTGCTCATTTAGTCCTCATTACACCACTTTGAGATAGAGATGAGGATCCCTGTGGATGGATACAGATATCTAAGGCTTATTGAGGATTATTTACTTGCTCAAGGTTACACAGTTCACAAATATCAAGAATGTCTTTCTTACTTTAAATACCATTCTAAACCCTGTGATCCTTATCAGAAAAGTGTCTGTATGAGCATAAATAGGAGAAAGTACCCAGGATGGAGTGAGGGGATCTATTTCTATGATATTGGTGGCTCAAGGATAATAATCCAGTCAGTCTCAAATCTGTTTATTTTTTAAAGATAATTGAGAATTATTTTAAAATAATTAGCAATGTTAAAAAATAAAAACTTTACAAGAAGATTTGTTTCCTATTTACTCTTCCTGAATCAGTTTTGCAAAGATAGCACCTGAACTATAAAACTTTGGAAACTTCATTCTTTCCTGATGTCTCAACATCTCCCAAAACAGACCGCAAACTTCCCACCCAGGTGACAAGATGGACAATGTGGTAAAGCTGGTGGCTACCACAAGTCCCTTTTTTTCTCTTCCCCTGACTATGACCTAATGACTTCAGAAACATCAAATAAATCCTTTTATTACCTTTGGTTGTGTACTCCCCTGTTCCCCAATAAAGGTGCTGAAGCCCATAAAGTCACTCCCTTTCTTGGTGCCCCACCTACTTGGTTGAACTGGTTCCCTGGGAATTCTTTTCCTACAACCCCTGTGTGGCATGCCAAGTCATCTGTCTCTAGGACCTATGCCTTTCCAGGTGTAATTTTCGTGGCCACGTTAGAGTGATCCTTAAAAAACTACACAAGGGTGACTGACTCTCGGTTTTACAGTGTAGCACCTCTCTTTGCTCTTTGACCCGGCAATTCTCAACATGTAATTGGTACCAAACCAAAATAAAGAAAGTACACATGTTCCTGTATTTCCATGAATTTAAAAATCATGAAATTAGCACCTTGGCCAAAACTCCCTCTTTAAAGTTACTTAATAAATATATATTGAATGCATTGATGTTTAATTTATGAAACCTTTGGCTTAGTTATATTTTTTAAAAGGTTATCATGAAACCTCACAGCTTTATTAACAATAATAAATTGCAGAACTCCTCCCAAAGTGATTCAAAAAATGCTTCTGAAGTCTATTCCCTCCTCACATGCTTATCCAAGAAGTAAAAAAGAATTTGCTTGGATAGCAGGTAGCATCTAAACAAAAGATTCTTGGCATATGAAGATATTTAAGATACTTAATAATTATTTTAAAATAATTAGTGGGCTGGGGATGTGGCTCAAGCGGTAGCGTGCTCGCCTGGCATGCGTGTGGCCCGGGTTCGATCCTCAGCACCACATACAAACAAAGATGTTATGTCCGTCGAAAACTAAAAAATAAATATTAAAATTCTCTCTCTCTCTCTCTCTCTCTCTCTTTAAAAAAATAAAAATAATTAGCAATGTTAGAAAATAAAAACTTTACAAGAAGATTTATTTGGTTTCTATTTAATATTCCTGAATCAGTTTTGCAAAGATAGCACCTGTACTTTAAAATAAATGAACTATAATACAGAGAGAGAGAGAGAGAAACAGTCTGCTTGTACTTTTAAATAGAAATAAAATAGGACTGTCTTTTTCAGGAGTAAATTAAATGCTTAACAAGCTGATATCTAGCAGAACGCAAAGCTTTTGGCAATCATCAATTGTGTTAAATACATGGCATTAAGTTAATTGCAAGTTATGTGCCATCTTCATGGGATATATCTCCAAATGGTAGATTTAGGGACATTCCCTTCCATGTTCTAATGGTTTGGTTGGCCATATAATCCAATTAAACACAGAGCATTCAGCCCTCTGCCTAGAAAAGCACCCACATTTAGCAATCTGAAATGAAATGGTTGTGGTGATCACTCTGCCACATACAGTGAGATGTGACAATTTAGAAAGACAATGGGTATGTTAATCTATTCAATGGAGTTTCAAAGCTAGCAGCATTCAAAAGAATAAATAAAAGCATAAGCTTTACAGCTGTTTAGACAGATGAGGCAACAAGAAAACCATTGTGCATTTCCATTCTGTCCTTGTTATCATAGAACAATTGCTTTGCCAGCAGATTAGATCTTTTTTCTTTCCTTTTGTCCTGTTTATGTTGACTTGCAGACTTGTCATTATTTTCTCAGTGTATAATATAGATCATACATTAAGGGATAACTAATAATTTATACGCTACTGGGATTTGTCACGCTGCCAAGGACAATTTGCGCAAGACTTAAAACATCTACTTAAGGTGCCTTTAATTCCAGGATTTTCAAAGCAGTAGCTCTATCTTCTGCTTGAAGGCATGCCCATAGTATGCTATTACAGTAAATTTCTCTTGCTTTGATATTAGCAATGTCCTTTAAGTTGTATGTGACTAATGAACACTAGTTTTTACATTTAACTTTTATTGATAATTACTTACTTATACAGTAATTATAGGATCTGTCACCAAAACTTGATTGTAATTTCCTCTGTGACATAGACCACAGCTTATTCTCTGT